GAGTCGACCGCGCTATCCCTCCACGGCTGCTTCCACGCCCCCACTCGACCGGCCACGACGGCAGCCCTCGCGGTGGTGGGAATCCGGGATGGTGGGGGAGAAAAGGCGACGGCGAGGAAGGCGAAGAGGAGAACGGGCGGGAGCCTTGCACGGCGCGCTGTGCAATGTCGAGCGTGCGCGAACGCGCGACGAGCCCTTCTCTCCTGCATGGGGATTCTACCAGGTGTGACCGAAATTTGCGCCGCCGGAGCGAGGCGTGCGGGTAATAGGGAATCCGATAAGGGGGCGGGGGAGGGCGGGCGAACGTGTATAGAGTACGTATGTGTGTGCCTATAGGCACGCGTGCGTGTGAGAGGACGTTCGATCGGAGAGAAAAAGAGAGACAGAGAGAGAGAGAGAGCTGTTTTTCGCCGCGACCGCGGTAGACGGCCTGGTGAACGCGAATGCGCGATTAGAGTATATCACGCCCCGGCGGCAAGTTGGACGATCATGTCGATCGGTTTGTATTGTCGGGGATGTAAGCATTCGTACAGATACCGCGCTGCGGATAATTTTAAACGTCGTTGCGAAAGTACTTTGGGCGAAAATAGCCGAGGAGAATTCGCGTAATAAAAGCGGTCGATATCGGGAAACTCGAGCCGCTCATCGCATACGATGAACTCGCGTGTCTCAATCACCGAGTCTTTGGAAAGTTGCAAAACTTTAATTTGATCTAATTGTTGCATGTTCGAATCTTATGTCCGCCGCTTTTGCGTGTAGTATATTTAGATATGCAATAACTCGTTATTGCGATAAATGTATATACGGGTACTATTTGCACACAGCGCGAGGCGGACGTGATGCGAAAAATTACGGCTGCGGACAAAAAGTTTCAAGATCATCATCGCGCCGGCCAATTGCGAAATGCCATTCCATTGGCGGATTATTCGGAAGTAGAATGCGGGCTCGCTTGAACGAAACGTCGGTATTGCGCATTTTATGTGGGCTCGGTACAATTCACAGAACACATATTATTTAAAAATGTATACATAATTGCGCCATTTCTTCTCAGCTTTGCCGCAAAAATAGAACCGAATATGTAACATTTCCTTCCCATATTTCCATCTTACATGCTCCCACTCAAACTAAGAAAAAAATTTATAAATAACTATTTCCTCTTTAGTACGCCTGTTCCAGAAATACAGCCATTCATATTAGCAACCAGACTAAGCATAAATAATTTTTATAAAAAAAAAACATCGTGCACTCGCTTTCGAACGAACGTGTTTGTATTTTTGTCCACGGAAGAGGAAAAATAGTAAAAAAATATCCTTTACATATAAATTCTATCTTTACCAGATCACTCATGTTTTTTTAAAATATTTTAAACTTAATGATAACATTTTTACAAAGCATGTGGTTTTTCAAACAATAATCGAGCAACGTGTGCGTACTCCTTACTTTGAACGTCGTATCTTTAACCGTGTTTATGCAAACCGTTTTCTTTACAATTCCGATGTATCTGATCGTTTACGAAAGCTCGACAAACAACGATTTAAAAAAATCGCTCGAATTATCTCCGTCTATTGCGTGCGAAAATATTTTCGCAAAAGAAGAGCCTACAGATGGACCCCGTTCGCGTTGAGCAACCTGCGCCGCACCTGTTTCGATACCATCGATAGATTCGCCATGGCAACATCCTAGGCACGCCCGTTGTCCTCG